CTTGCAAGGATCGAAGCAATCGGCTGATTAGGTGGTAAGTACCCAAGGAATGTTCGAATCTAGTGTGGGTGCAAGAGGGGAAGACGAAGATAACGGGACCCAGTTGTTTTATGTTTCGGAGCCGTTGAAACTCAATTGTATCAACAACCTGGACCATTAAAGGTTCCAACTCAATTAGACCGTGGACCGCGTCTTGGATTACCTGAAAATAGAGAGAACTTCGAGTGAATTAACTAGAATTTGTATAGGACGATTGAAAGGCTCGGAAAAGCTATTGCGAACTAACTTCATGGGTAGCTATTGGAGTCATAATATGTATGACACTTAGTGAAATTACAAAAATGTTCTGAAGAAATATATTCCTCGCGACTAAAAGTGATTTTCCTGGTTAAATAAGTGTTAGCACTGTACAGAAATGGTCGTAACCATAGGACATGACACCAAACCCGGACAAAACAGCATTACCTTTGATGATGTTGTTGAGACCATGTTTTAAAATTGGACAGAAAGTCAGCTTCACGGTACGCCACGGCAGCAGGAAACGAGGGATCTTATCTAATGAAAAATAAAAACTTCACTTAGACAATTGGAGGGTGAAAATTGGGTTTCGAGAAACGAGAATGGTCAAAGGCTGAAAACCCTAATTTTGATCGAACAGACGTTAATACAAAGAAATTTACTGCAAAGAAGATAGTATGGTTTTTTGATGTTAAATGTAGTCATTTACATTTCAAACAGCGAGGAAATGGCAAATGTGCACGAACTACTGATTTGTAGCCTACGCGTAGGTATCTGGTCTTCGTACACTAGAATGTTCTCCAAAGAAATCAACATAGTAAGTTCACCTTAGAATCGTTCACATATAAGCAAAGATTCTAAGGTGAAAAAAATTATGCGATCCAGAAAATGGTCTTTACTATTAATTGTCAAAAATATTTGCGTCCTAGATTTCTCAAACTTTTCTAAAACAAAGTTAAACTCGATGCAAAATTCAAATAGGCGTAGAGGACAAGCCAATGAGCGACAAAAAGAGTAAACATTTACATAAGTGAGCTTCGGAAAAGGGTTTGGCCACGTTTTCAAAGGGAGCTTTATGTAAATAAGCGGGAACTAAGAACACGGTATGAAGTAAAGTTCAGCTCCGATTTCTCAACGTAAAATGCAACTCGCTCGAGACTAAAGACACCTACATATTAGACCGTTTTGCTACCAGGCGGCGCAGAAAAAGTATACATGTGATCAGGCGACAGGAAGTGAATTCATAGACGAAAATTAGCAAAAGCACGACCACTGTAACGGCGGTGTAGATTGGTTTAT